TCGGCAGCAATCTTAAGGTTGTGGCATAAAGCTGTATACATTACATCATTTGTGAAGCATGTTAAGTGTTTTTCCAGATCACCACACTGCTGAAACCTTAATTTATAATTGTTCATCTTTCAGGCTATACGATGTTTTTGGTTTTTTTTTAATAATTTAAGCTGACTTTCCTTTCAAAGCATTGTTGATTACTTCAAACATTATTTGATAGCTAATTCTATACACTAACCACTCTCCAGAAACTTGAGTTCCTCCTGCTGGCTTTGTTCGTAACTATATGTAGGCTTCAGATTTTGGCCTATCTCTGCAATCTAGCCGTTTCTCAAACTATACAACTAATTTGTGGATGGCACTTGCAGCACTTACTTTGAGAGCATTTTGTCGTGCTCACCCATTTAGACCAGGGTCTGGGGCAAAACAGATCCAAGCCGAGAGTTTCCAGCCACTGTCAGTTGAGACTCAGTTGGTGACACACTAGCCTGACCCAATAGGTTAAATTCATGCTGCACTTCAGAGATTAGAGCACAAAAATGTAGGCTGGCATTCCAGGGCTGCAGAGTCAGAAATCCTATCTTTCAGATGAGATTAAACGAAGGCCCAACCTGTCTCTTAACCTTAAAGATTCCATGGTGTTGTAATGAGCAGTGAGTTTTCTCTAGCGCCCTGGTTAATATTTATCTCTTCAGTCAACACCAAAAACAAATCATCTAGTCATTGTCCCATCACTGTTTATGGAATCTTGCTTTGGGGCAATTGACTGTTGCATTTCTTATGTTACAACAGTGACTGCACTTACAAAGTGCTCTCTTTGAAACTTTTTCTATTTATTTGGGAGACGCAGGTGCCACTTACCAGGCCAGCATTTATTGCTTATCCTAAATAGTGTTTGAGAAGGTGATGCTGAGTTATGTTCCTGACCTGTTGCAGTCTGTGATGTAGGCACAAGCACAGGCTTTTAAGAAGGCAGTTCCTAAATTTTGACCTAATCTTTGGTTCTGAGGAGAAGTCGCTGGATCTGAAGCCTTTACTCTGCTTTCTCTCCACCAACGCTGCCGGACCTGTGGCGTTTCTCCAGAACTGTCTATTTTTGTTTGATTTCCAGCATCTGCAGTTAAGTTCCAAGTCAAAATAGTCTGTGGTTTGGAGAGGTTCTTGCAGATGATGTTCCAGTGTATCTGCTGCCCTTGTCGTAGGTAGTAGAAATCACAGGTCTGGAAGGTACTGTTGAAGGAGCCTTTTAATTTCTCTGGTGCGTTTTTGTAGATGGTGCACATTTTCCCTATGCATCAGTGATGGAGGGATTGACTGTTGAAGGTGATGTGAATGGTGTCAGTTGAGTGAATACTTTGGAGTATTCTGGCAATCTAGCCACTTGCGAAGTTATGCAACTAATTTGTGGATCGCAATTGCAGTGCTAATTTTGAGAGGATTGTGCAGTAGTGCTCTCCCATTTTAGGTCAGGGTCTGGGGAAATCATCTGCAGTGCTTTGAGCTGCTTGTGTTATTGAAACTTCACTTATCCAGGCAAGTGGAGTGTATTCCTTCATATTGCTGTCTTGTGCCTTACAGATGGTGGACAGGCTGTGGGGAGTCAGGAAACGAATTGCTCACCACAGAATTCATGGCCTCTGACCTGCTCTTATTATCATGTTATTTATATAGCTGGTCCAATTTAGATTCTGTTCAATGGTAACACCCAAAACCTTGATGATAGACTTAGTACTGCCAATTAATATTGAGAGGAAACAGTTAAAATCTTTAAGTGCAAGGCAGTAACCATTGACAAGTAATATCTGTGTAATGCATCCGTGTAAGCCTGGATGTTTTCTGGTCTTGTATAATAACACAGAACACTTCAGTATTAAGGAGTTGTGCATGGTGCTGAACGTTATGCAGTCATCAGCAAACACCCCCTCTCCTTTGTTTAAGGTGGTTAGTCGTTGAAGTAGCTGAAGATCCTTGGGTGGGGTGGGGGGTGAGTGACTAGCTTGAGGGAGATGATTGACTTCCAACAACCAGAACTATTTTTGTGCTACATAGGACTACAACCAGCAGAGAGTTTACCCTAATTCCCATAGTTTTGCTAGAGCTTGGTGTCTCACCTGAACAGTGCTATGTTGATGTCAATGGCATTTAATCTCACTGCACTCCTGGAGTTCAGCTCTTTTGCCTATATTTGGATCAAGGCTGTAGGGAGGTCAGCAACTGAGTAGCCTTGGTAGCTGGTTATTGTTGCTTGAAGAATGCTTGACTGCACTGATCCTATGTATCGCTTTAACTGAGGAGGCGGCTAATCTGATTTGAGTTGTTCTGCTTTTTGCAAATAGGGTATAGGACAGACAATTTTCCATGTTGCCATGTAGGAGACAATGTTGTACTGCAGCAGCTTGAGTAGAGTCACAACTAGACATGGAGCATAGTTTTCAGTGTAACATCAGGTGGGAAGTATGTAGAGGAACAAGTTGGCAGGGCAATGTGGGAAGGATGTGGAGGAACAAATGAGAAGGGAAATTAAAGTAGAGTAGTTATAGTGGGGGGCTTCTATTACATCTATATAGATTGGGATGGTGGTAGTGTAAGGGTCAGCGAGAGGCAAGTGTTCCTAGACTTTTATTCAGGAGAATTTCCTACAGCAATGTGTGTACTCCATCAAAAAATGATGCACCAATGGACCTGGTTCTTGGAGATTTAGGTGTGCCACGTGAATACAGTGTCAATGGGGTGAAATTGAAGAGACAGTGATTAGTCTATCATCAGCTTTAGGATGATGGTGAGGAATGACTATCCTCATTCCACAGCAAGAAAAATCAATTGTTGGAGAACTAACTACAGTGGTCAAGAATCGAGCTGGGGAGGATAGACAAGATTGGGAACAACTGTAACTGAGCCTTCAAGCAAGAGATGGTTTGGGTACAGTCAAGGTATATTCCCTCAAATGAGAAAGGTAGAATAAACAAATCCAGAGCTTCCTGGATGCCGTAGGCCATATGCCAGTAAAAAAGAAATGTTTCTTATGATCTTATTGGTGTGGCATGATCCCAGATCTCTTAGACGAGAGATAAGGGCGGTGCCACCGTGCCCCAGAACCCTTAGCGGCATTGCAAACTGAGAGGATGTCAGTGTAGGAAGACAGTGCAGAATTTTAAAAAGACTTACCTGCACATTGATACAACGTGTCTAGGTGGCGGAAGAAGCTCAATGGAGACAAATGAGAAGTGATAGGAAGAACATGGACAGACAATATAACAAAGGGGTACAATTCTAAAGAAGTGCCAGAGCAGAGGGGCCTGGAGTGAAAGTGCACACGTCATTTAAAGGTGGCAGGGTAGGTGGAGAGAATAGCTGATAAAGCAAGTTAATTCTGTTCCTGGGCTTCATAAAATGACCTAGAGTGCAAGAGCAGCTAGATTATGATGAACATGTTAGGACCCTTGTTAGAGCTCTGGAGTATTATGTATAGTTCTGGGCACTATGCAATAGGGTGGATATGAGTGCATTGGAGGGTGTGCAGAAGGGATTTACAAATTTTAGGAATTGAGACTGGGTAGAGTAAATAGAGAGAAACTTCCTGCTTTATAAAAGGAGTGAGAATGAGAAGACATAGATTTAATGATTTGCAAAGCAAACAAATGGAAGGTGAGGAGAAACTTTCCCACACGAGTGGTTCAGGTCAGGTCAGGTCAATTGAAGCATTCAAGACTGCGATTTTTTTTTTTTTTTTTTAATTTAAAATCAACATCTAATGCCCAAGAGTATAGGGAAAGGCTGGAGAATGGCTCTTTGCCCTGATGCTCATTTGGACAGCTTGTGCAGATGTAGCGGGCTGAATAATCACATGCCCATCTCTTTCCCTACCGCCCCCAACAAAAAAATGCTGTAGCATTTTGTGTGTGTGTGTGTGTGTGTGTGTGTGTGTGTGTGTGTGGATATTGTTGCTGCTGAGCCAACCTTTGGACCATCTGCTCTGGTGGCAGTGCAGAACATAATCATGGTAGCAGAGTTTCAGACATCAGCAAGAAGATAGGGTCAAGAAAATGACTATGGGTTACTCTTAACTAATTTATGGAATAGCTCATACATATTTTGTTGAAGACTTTGCAAGGTTAACTCAGTGTGCATTTTAAATTCTATGCCTGAGTGATATGTCTTTTTTTTAATTTTTTAAAAAATTTTTTAATAGCAGTTTGACATTGAGAGGCTTGTGAGAACATTTCAGAGTAGTAGTTGAGTACATCTAGAGTCAGAAATGGTTACTGCCTAGAGGATGAATTTGATTTTCAAACACTGGTTTCAGTTTTGGATAAACTTCAATAGGAGGTTTCTACTGAAATAACAACTTGAAAGTTAGCATTTAAAACACTAGGTGATTCCCTTTAGACTGATTTATTATCTTAAAGTGACATGTTGATTTTGATTTCAATCTTAAACCTATTCCAATTTTAAAATGCAGTCCTTTGAAAATAACAGCTTTAAGAGCTGAGTGAACAAAAATATTGTAAAAGTAATGCGACATCAGTTCAGTTAAGCTCATCCTCAAAGGCTTTCAGATCTGGAGCATATCCCCTTGTGGGGAATGGGGAATCCTGATTAATTACTAATAGTGTCAGATTGCCATATGGTGGTTGTCCTGATCCTATTTAAAAAGGTTCACCTTGAGAGTTGTCGCAGATTTATTCTATATGTTGGCAGATTAGTGATGGTCTGTGGTCAAAGTATGAAAATGGATAAAAAAAATTTTAAAAGCTGTTCAAGGTTTTTATATCCTGTCTAATCACACATTCTAGAGCATTTTAGAAGTGCATGTGAAGAATTCTGGCAGGGCTTTGTTTAAACTGATTTATCGGAGCTAGTTGTACTATTCAGTCCTAATGTGCACATTGTTTTTACGCTAGCAGATTTAAAATATTTGATATGATCCCTGAAGAGATTAATTTTTTAATAAAAACAAAATCAATTTCCCAAATGATCAGAAACAACCAGAGGACAGCATTTCTCGAAGATATTTTACTGTAACTAACAAATGGAAATCAACATAGATTGAACATCATTGAGTAGACAACTGGCGCTTGAACTTCAACTAAATGGTAAATTCTTTGCATTTACAAATATGACTGAGATGTCTTATGAAATACCTGTTTATTTAATGTCACACTTCTAGCAAAGAAATAACAGCTCAAGGAACTGTTTCTGGAGAGCAAGAGGAAAATTAGCAGAAATGTAGGGGTAAATAGATAGAAAGAGGTGGAGGCAAACAGGTGACTGTAGAAGTGGAAAGTTCATTGTAGCTATTGATTTGATTCACTTATCACGTACCAAAGTACAGTGAAAATTGTTTTGCATGCAGTATAGGCAGATCATAACATACAAAGATATACAGATCATAGGGTAACTGAACAGAATGAGGCATACAAAGTTATGGCTGCACAGGAGGTTTACATAAGCAAGATCAACATTAGATTTGAAATATGAGAGGTCCATTTAATAGCCTAATAACCGGGAAGAAGCTGTCCTCGAACATGTGGAATGTGTGTTTAAGGTTTTGTATCTTTTGCCTGATGGAAGAGGTTGGAAGAGATTATAACTGGAATGGGAGGGGTCTTTGATAATGTTGGCAACTTTTTGAAGGTAACGAGAAATGTAGATTGAGTCATTGGATGCAAATTTGGCTTGCATGATGGTCTGGGCGATGTTCACAACTTGCTGTAGTTTCTTACAGCCCTGGGCAGAGCAGTTGCCATACCAAGCCGTGATGTATCCAGATAATGCTTTCTATGGTGCATCTGTAAAAGATGGTTGGGGTCTTTATGGACATGCCAAATTTCCTTGCCTTCCTGAGGAGGAAGAAGTGTTGTTGTACCTTCTTGATCATCGCGTCCATGTGGGTGGTCCAGAAACAATTGTTGGTTATTGTCATTTCTAGGAACTTGACACTCTTGAACACCCTCCTCCTTTGCCCCATTGATGTAGATAGGGGCATGTCCTCCTCCTTGCTTCCTGAAGTCAATGATCAGCTCTTTAGTTTTGCTGACATCGTGGGAGAGGTTGTTATCTTTGCACCACAACACCAAGCATTCTCCTTCCTGTATTCTGTCTCGTCATTGTATTGATATCTGGCCTGCAATGGTGGTGTCATCAGCAAACTTGTAGATGGAATTCAGCTGAAATTTGGCTACACAGTCATGAGTGTACAGGGAGTACAGTAGGGGTCTAAGTACACATCCTTGCAGGATGCCAGTGTTAAGGATTGTAGTGGAGGAGGTGCTGTTGTCTATCT